CTCTACCAGAGACCACTGACTCTAGAACTTGACAAAGACTCTAGGCAACTTAATCATAAAAGACTTCTGCTTTGCACTCAAGAAGAGCCTAGACTCCTGGATCGACACACAGGGCCCTTTGGTTTGGCCTCTTGGTTCCCAGGCTCTGCTCTCACCACTCTCTTCCTCATCACCAGAGCCCCAGCCTTGCACTTCTTCGGCAGAGAAGAAACATGACCTAGTTGAAGATTAGAAAATAAAATAAATAATCTGAGTGATAAAACAAGCATGTACAATGAAGTTAAAAGTATGGGAAGCCAGCAGCTCCACTTTCTGTCACACTTTGGGCTTTTTGTAGACAAGGACAGTGGGAGAAGTAGCAATCATGTTAGGTAAGAGGAGTCCCTGTTCTTATAACATATTATCACGGCTCAGGCAGTTTAGTTTTTTTAACACTTCTCATCCTGTGAAGTTAATACTTTAACTTGCTCTTTCTTCCACTAGTTAGTAAGCTCGTTGAAGGGCAGGGTTGTTGTCATACCCATCTGGGTATAAACTGAGTCTTCCCAGACCTCACCTACCTGTAGGTACAATGGAACAGCATACTCCATCACACACATTTGGCTCTGCTGCTAACTCAGAACTCTAGTCCTCTGCAAAAGGTCATTCAGGATTTCTAGGCAGTTCAAGGGGGTGGCTCACCTTTACTGGGGAGGAAGAAAATTTCCTCTACCCTTCTAGGTTCTTCTGTCAAGTCTCAGAATTAAATTGACATGTGAAAGATTAACAGGAGAAAACCAAACAAAGTTTAATAACATGGGTACATGGGAGAGACCCAGGAAAACTAACTCTCCAAAGTGGCAGAAACCTTCACCTTAAATACCATCTCTAGCTAATGACAAAAGAGGATGTTGGGAGTAGGGGTTTGGGATTTCAAAGGGGAAGAGAGCAATTGACATGGAGATGGAAAAGCAAATGTTTGCTGGGCCATGCAGAGACAATGGGACACAGAGTGGACTCATCTCTAAGAGTTTCCCCCACCACACCTAGGCCATATTCTTTGCAGATATCTCTGGTGATAGCCTATCCCTGTAACAGGCTCTCTATCTAAATTTTTCAGGTAATTAGGGAGATGGTCAAAGTTTCTTCCTGAGTCTTGACTGCTTTCAGCTGGAAATACTCTGCATAGTAAGAGACACTTTTGGGTGGCAAGTTCTGCTCCCTTACTCCTTGCTCACAAATGAAAGTGTTCGGCTGTACCGAGCTATCTGTCATTTGCTTCCATTTCTACTCCAGGCTCCTTTGGCTGGATCCACAATACCTACCAGGCCTGATGTGTCTGCAGCACTTGACCACTGAGGCCCCAGAAAACTTTGTCCACCGGGCACCCAAGCTCTGCTTCTGATGACCACAGCTAGAGCAGTAGGGTTCACAGCCATTTCTGTACCACCACTGTCTCCTGACCATGATGACAACAACCAGAGCCCCAGAGAACTCCTCTAGCAACAGTTCAGTTCAAAGACCCAGCATTGCACACCTACTGGGTGCCAGGCACTGCACTGGAAAGTTCCAGCATTGGGGATGCAAAGCACAATCTTGGATCTTAGGGAACACAGACGTGGAAGCATGCAACTACATCACATTGGGTAAAGTGATAACATAGAGCCAAGATCCTGAGTCTAGACTCCTTTCTAGGAAAAGTAACATTTACACTGAAACCTGAAGATGAGGAGGGGTTAGGTAAGAAAAGTTGGGACCTAGAAGAAATAAGGAAAGAGGGAAAGAAGAAAGAGTGGCAATAACATTTAAAAACCTAGGGGTAAAAGGGGTAAACCAGCCTTCATGTAGGTTTGAGGTCCAAAATCAAGCCACCCAAATAGGCCAAGAAACATTTAGCCAAGAATTTAGTTCAAGTTGATTCTAGTTGGTAGATTCCTCCAGAGATGTTGCAGAAACAAATTCAAATCCTTCTTGGAGATCTTGCTTTCAAGTCAGGTCTCATATAATTTCTAGAGGTAAAGTTCTAGAAAAAGAGCTCACAATAAAAAAATAACACACACTTATGCTCACATATAAGGAAATGAGGCATAATGAATGAGAACCAGCAGGAATATCAGTATCTGACCTGAAAAGATTTCAGATAATGGAATTATTAAACACCCAACATAAAATAAGTATATTTAATATGCTTCAAGAAATAGAAAAGAATTCAATGCAAATAAAGAGTAAGAGACTCGGGCTTCCCTGGTGGCGCAATGGTTGAGAGTCCGCCTGCCGATGCAGGGGACACGGGTTTGTGCCCCAGTCTGGGAAGATCCCACATGCCGCGGACTGGCTGGGCCCGTGAGCCATGGCCGCTGAGCCTGCGTGTCCGGAGCCTGTGCTCTGCAACGGGAGAGGCCACAACAGTGAGAGACCCGCGTACAGCAAAAAAAAAAAAAAAAAAAAAAAAAAAAAGAAAAAAAGAGTAAGAGACTATAAAATAAGATGGGTTATATTAACAAAAGGATTCTAGATATCAAACTACAATGATTGGTATAAAAATGTACAATGAATGGGTTTAATAGTAGGTTAGACACAGTTAAAAGAGAGAATTAGTGAACTTCAGATAGATCTGAAAAACTTACCCAGAATCAAAGAAATGGAAAATCTGATAGAGGTAAGAGAAGTTAAGAGATCACATCAAGTGAGAAGTTGCAGAAGAAGAGAGAGAGTGGGGCAGAAGCAATACTTGAATAGGCAATGGTTGAGAATTTTCCAGAAGAGTTAAAAGCAGCCATTCTACAGCTTTGTGAATTCACACAAAAGCAGGATTAATTCAGAACCCACATCCTGTACATCATAGAGAAACACTAAAGGCAAAGACAGGATTTTAAACAGAGCCAGGTTAGGGAAGGGATATCCTCCAAAGGAATGGCAATTAAACTGATAACCAGATTTCTCATGGAAGCAGGAAGACCATGGGGAAGTATTTCCCTGTACTGGGACAAAAACCTGTTGATTTGGAATTATGTGCTCTGCAAAAATATCTTTCCAGAATGAGAGTAAAATGTAGATGTTTTCAGACAAAAACTGAGCATGTTTCCCCACAACACACTCTAATTAATGAGGATTCTAAAGGGTGCACTTCAGACTAATGGACTGTGATCACAAATAGAAGGCCAGTATGAAGGAAAATCACGACCAGAGGATGGCATAAAAATGTAGGGGATTTAACAATTTCTGGTGGCATAAAACAATGATTAGAATACGTCACAGGGCTTAAAAAAGAGGTAACATACATGCCAGCAATAGCATAGAAATAAGGAGAGCAGGAGGTTAGCATTTCAGAAACAATGGTTGTGTGAGAGAGAGTTACAGACTAATCCATGTGGTAATACACCTTTTATTGATAATTAAAGTTTAAGAGCTTGCTAAGTAATACTGCACATTTAGGATGGTTGCATACTTATATAGTAAAAGTACAAAGAATTTATGAATAGCATACACACCAATTTAAGGGTTGTAGTTACCTATTAGGAGAGATCAGAGAGAGGGACAGAGGACATTTCAGTTGTCACTATAATTATTTATTTTGGATATACAAATATATCTGAAACAAATAGAGACAAATTTAAGATTTGTCCAATCTGGGTAGTAGGTACACAGACATTTCTGTACATTTGAAATATTGTAGTAAGCAGATTATTTTGAAGTCAACATGACTGGAAAGGTAAGTTTACAGGGTATTAACTGGAGGATATGGTGGCTGGAAGGAGTCCCGATTCTTCCTTTTAAAGTAAATCTAGGAGAGAATTCACCATGCTTCAATGCTACCAGGACAGAGCCAGCAGAGAGCGCGGTTGATCAGCATGGGCCTAAGGAGCAAGCAGTGCCCCAGGATTCAGCCTCACACGGGAGGAGGGGTCCATCTCCCCTGGTGAGAGGTGAGTGAGAGGAAACCAGGTGCGTTTTTGAGTTTGGTAGAAGAGTACTCCTATCTGATTGCTTAGGTCAACTCTGTGTGAGGTCATCTGCTGAGAGGGAAAGAACAGATGTTGAGGAGCCTGAACAGGGCCTTGAATACCAGTTGAGAGGTGCCACAGCAGTGTTTGGCAAAGTGGGAGGGAACATCCTCCCTCAGTTTGTGTAATGTGCTCTCTGTGTACCAAAGCCATGTCTTTCCTTTCCTCAACCAGTTAAGAGAGTTTCAGTGAAATAGCTCTTCTAAGGGTTCCACAGCATTTAGGTATGAACCTGAGGGTCTGGGTGGAGAGGCAGTCTGCTGGGATCCACATGTATCTGAGTACATCACCCCTTTTCCCTCAACCCAGAGCACAATCAGTGCTTCTTAGACTTTAACTGGAGATCTTGTTAAAACGTACACTCGATTTCTTCTCCAGAGCCCAGAACTGTTGTGTTTGGACTTGGCTGGGCTGTGGAGACCTTGGAAAGTTACTGCCACCAGGAGGTGAGCACCTAATCAGGGAATTGTTTTGACTGGAAAATCTCAAAAGATGGTTTGGGTTGCTGGTTACTTTCTTTTGTCCAAAGAAACTCTTGGATTTGTCTTTGGCTAAATAATGGTGACAGGTATCGTGTGTCCATTTCCAGCTCTACGTCCTGCTACTCAACTGCTCCTCCTACCCTTGACTGCTTTTCAGCTCACCTATCTGCCATCCCCTGAACCTCCATGTTCATTCCTACCCCTGGGCCTTTGTACATGCTGCTCCTTCTACTTGAGATGCCCTTCTTGCCTCTCTTCCTAATAAATGCTGGCTTATAATTTCAGAGGAAAAAAAAAAAAAAGGGCTTCCCTGGTGGCGCAGTGGTTGGGAGTCTGCCTGCCGATGCAGGGGACACGGGTTCGTGCCCCGGTCCGGGAAGATCCCCCATGCCACGGAGCGGCTGGGCCCGTGAGCCATGGCCGCTGAGCCTGCGCGTCCGGAGCCTGTGCTCCGCAACAGGAGAGGCCACAACAGTGAGAGGCCCGCGTACTGCAAACAAACAAACAAACAAACAAAAAAAAACCACAGACTCCAAATCAGTAGGTCAGGAATGGGATCTGACCTGCATTTCTAAGTTTCCAAGTGATGCTGATGCTGCTGGTTGGTAGAACACACTTTGAGCAGAACAGTGGCCTGGCTCTGCCTCATTTGGGTAAGTGTTTTCTCTCTCTATCTTTTGCTCTCGCTCTTGCTTTAGCTTTCAATACTCTCTTGGGAGGCTCTTTGGTTCTCCATCCAAATAGAGTTTTGGCCCATTGTCTCACTAGTTTGCTACATGTGCCCATACCTATCAGAACCCCAGTCTAACTGGAACTTTGCCTCAAACTTGGTCCATTTCTCCTGTTGGCTCCCATCACTCAGCCCTGGTTTTGGGTCAGAGCAGAGGCTCAAGACGTGGGAGGTTCATTTCTAGGAAGACAAAGCCAACTGGGACTCAGCTCCAGGCAAATCTCATGTCTTCCTTCTCTCCTTTGGACAGCACAGCACCACTCTATATCAGTGCAGTCAGAGGATGAGATCACATGATCCCCCACTTACTTATCTTATTAACAGAAACAAAACCAGCAGTCAATAGTACTGATTGACCATTTCCTGAGACTTGAGAGACCATTCTGTTCATAAAATGTTAAGCAACTCCTGGAAGTACTTGTTTTTCTCTTACATAATTTGATTGGTTTGTTTCCATGGCATCATGAAACTCATGCACTACTGCCCCTGAGATTGTCTGATTAGTTTTCCCACGTATAAGTCACAGGTGAAAGCTATAGTTCCTGTATCTCCCCAGATCCGAGCAACTTAGTATTTTCAGATTTTAATTTCATTCAGTTATATGATAATAACAGGGTTCTTTCATATTAGCCTTAGAAACTGGTACTCCCTGATAGGAATGCTTGGGAAGAAAACACAAAAGTTACCAGTATCCATAGACCAGCAGGTCTACAACTGCCAATGATCTTCTAGAACAGGGTCTTAATCTTGGCACTAATGACATTTGGGGCTGGATAATTCATTTTGTAAGAGTCTGTCTTGTGCACTGTAGGATAGTTAACAATATCTCTGTCGTCTACCTACTAGATGCCAGTAGCATCCCCTAGTTGTGGCAACCAAAATGTCTCCAGACATTGCCAAATGTCCCCTGATTGAGAACTGCTGTTCTAGAAGATCATCTAAAACAGAGAGAGACAAACATTAATGAAGTGAATTTGATGTTGGAAGATTCATTAATTTAGACTGATTGCAGGGAGGCCCCATCAGTAACATAAAATACTCTGTTGCTAGTACTATCTGTTAATGCATTAACCAATTAAGCCTGAACACTGGTGATTCTCAGGTTTCTTCCTGGGGTCTTTTTATTTCCTTGATTGCTCCCTGAGTATCTCATTTACTTCCAAGGCTTCAGTAATTCTCAGTAGGCTGAAGAATCAACGTACCCATATCAATCTAACATTTCTGCTAAGCTCCGGACAAATAAACTCAATTTCTTATGGAATCTGGACATTCTCTGGGTACCTCAAACACAATTTTCTCCAGATTGACTCATTGCATTATCCAGGAGAATATTTTGACACTAAAATTTTGATGATATTGCTCCTCTTGAAACTGTTGGTATTCCATCATTCTCAGGGAAAGTCCAACTTGTTTGACACAATGAACAAGGCCTTTCATTATTTGCCTGTCTGTCCCCTTGATTCTACCAGTCCGTCCCCTAATTTCCTTGGGATCTTGCTCCAGATGCACCCATAGTCTCTCTCAACTCCAAGCATTTGATATGCTTTTCCCTCCTCCTGGCTCAGGGTTGCTTGATCTCCCAATTCTAGCTTGGATATTACTTCCTCCTGAAGCATTCTTGGAGCCCCCAGAATTGGGTCTTATAGCTTGACTATGTGATCCTGTGCTTCCTCCTTTGTAAAGTTTGGCCAGGAGGATTAATTTTTTCTAGGAAAGCCACCTTCCAGGGGCTCCATGCACTTCCTTCCATAGAGAGCTGGGGAGGATTGGAGCATGGAATCCAGTTTACCCAGCTGAGGTCCTAGTGGCCACTCATTATAAATGATATGTTGTAGAGACTCTGAATTGTTATCTTTTTCTGAAGAGTGTTGAGTTTTGTTCTATCAGGCAGTTAAACAGTAGGCAGGTCCACTTGAGTTATTGGAAGCTTGGTCTTATGTTTTGTTAAGGCAGGTCTATTGTTTTGCCCTTAGATCTAGGACATACCCTTAATCCCGGGAAGAATCTTACCTCCTAAGGCATAGTCCTTCTAGGGTTTCAGTGGAATTGCTGAGGTTTTTCCTGAGCCCCTCTAGCTTTCTGGGATACAAAGTCAAATCTCTGTCTCACATGCACTGGATAGGAGCTGACATATCAGGTCAGTCTTTTAGCTCTCCAGCTGTTCTTTTCTTCTCGTTCTTCTTGAAGTCTCCACAATTCATATACAGTTTAGGGATAAGCCAAGAATTGGAGGGGAGTTTATAGACAGATGTGGGGACTCCCCTTCTCTGTAGCTTCTTCTTCTTTTTTTTTTTTTACATCTTTATTGGAGTATAATTGCTTTACAATGGTCTGTTTCTGCTTTATAACAAAGTGAATCAGTTATACATATACATATGTTCCCATATCTCTTCCCTCTTGCGTCTCCCTCCCTCCCACCCTCCCTATCCCACCACTCCAGGTGGTCACAAAGCACCGAGCCGATATCCCTGTGCCATGTGGCTGCTTCCCACTAGCTATCTACCTTACGTTTGTTAGTGTATATATGTCCGTGCCTCTCTCTCACCCTGTCACAGCTCACACTTCCCCCTCCCCATATCCTCAAGTTCATTCTCCAGTAGGTCTGTGTCTTTATTCCTGTCTTACCCCTAGGTTCTTCATGACCATTTTTTTTTTCTTAAATTCCATTTATATGTGTTAGCATACGGTATTTGTCTTTCTCTTTCTGACTTACTTCACTCTATATGGCAGACTCTAGGTCTATCCACCTCATTACAAATAGCTCAATTTTGTTTCTTTTTATGGCTGAGTAATATTCCACTGTATATATGTGCCACATCTTCTTTATTCATTCATCCGATGATGGACACTTAGGTTGTTTCCATCTCCTGGCTATTGTAAATAGAGCTGAAATGAACATTTTGGTACATGACTCTTTTTCAATTGTGGTTTTCTCAGGGTATATGCCCAGTAGTGGGATTGCTGGGTCATATGGTAGTTCTATTTGTAGTTTTTTAAGGAACCTCCATACTGTTCTCCATAGTGGCTGTACCAATTCACATTCCCACCAACAGTGCAAGAGTGTTCCCTTTTCTCCACACCCTCTCCAGCATTTATTGTTTCTAGAGTTTTTGATGATGGCCATTCTGACTGGTGTGAGATGATATCTCATTGTAGTTTTGATTTGCATTTCTCTAATGATTAATGATGTTGAGCATTCTTTCATGTGTTTGTTGGCAATCTGTATATCTTCTTTGGAGAAATGTCTATTTAGGTCTTCTGCCCATTTTTGGATTGGGTTGTTTGTTTTTTTTTGTTATTGAGCTGCATGAGCTGCTTGTAAATTTTGGAAATTAATCCTTTGTCAGTTGCTTCATTTGCAAATATTTTCTCCCATTATGAGGGTTGACTTTTGGTCTTGTTTATGGTTTCCTTTGCTGTGCAAAAGATTTGAAGTTTCATTAGGTCCCATTTGTTTATTTTTGTTTTTATTTCCGTTTCTCTAGGAGGTGGGTCAAAAAGGATCTTGCTGTCATTTATGTCATAGAGTGTTCTGCCTATGTTTTCCTCTAAGAGTTTGATAGTTTCTGGCCTTACATTTAGGTCTTTAATCCATTTTGAGCTTATTTTTGTGGATGGTGTTAGGGAGTGATCTAATCTCATACTTTTACATGTACCTGTCCAGTTTTCCCAGCACCACTTACTGAAGAGGCTGTCCTTTCTCCACTGAACATTCCTGCCTCCTTTATCCAAGATAAAGTGACCATATATGTGTAGGTTTATCTCTGGGCTTTCTATCCTGTTCCATTGATCTTTCTGTTTTTGTGCCAGTACCATACTGTCTTGATTACTGTAGCTTTGTAGTATAGTCTGAAGTCAGGGAGCCTGATTCCTCCAGCTCCGTTTTTCATTCTCAAGATTGCTTTGGCTATTTGGGGTCTTTGTGTTTCCATACAAATTGTGAAATTTTTTGTTTAGTTCTGTGAAAAATGCCAGTGGTAGTTTGATAGGGATTGCATTGAATCTGTAGATTGCTTTGGGTAGTAGAGTCATTTTCACAATGTTGATTCTTCCAATCCAAGAACATAGTATATCTCTCCATCTATTTGTATCATCTTTAATTTCTTTCATCAGTGTCTTATAATTTTCTGCATACAGGTCTTTTGTCTCCTTAGGTTGGTTTATTCCTAGCTATTTTATTCTTTTTGTTGCAATGGTAAATTGGAGTGTTTTCTTGATTTCACTTTCAGATTTTTCATCATTAGTGTATAGGAATGTCAGAGATTTCTGTGCATGAATTTTGTATCCTACTTCTTTACCAAATCCATTGATTAGGTGTAGTAGTTTTCTGGTACCATCTTTAGGATTCTCTATGTATAGTATCATGTAATCTGAAAACAGTGACAGCTTTACTTCTTCTTCTCTGATTTGGATTCCTTTTATTTCCTTTTCTTCTCTGATTGCTGTGGCTAAAACTTCCAAAACTATGTTGAATAAGAGTGGTGAGAGTGGGCAACCTTGTCTTTTTCCTGATCTTAGTGGAAATGCTTTCAGGTTTTCACCATTGAGGATGATGTTGGCTGTGGGTTTGTCATATATGGTCTTTATTATGTTGAGGAAAGTTCCCTCTATGCCTACTCTCTGCAGGGTTTTTATCATAAATGGGTGTTGAATTTTGTTGAAAGCTTTCTCTGCATCTATTGAGTTGATCATATGGTTGTTCTCTTTCAATTTGTTAATATGGTGTATCACGTTGATTGATTTGCATATATTGAAGCATACTTGCATTCGTGGAATAAATCCCTCTTGATGATGGTGTATCATCCTTTTAATGTGCTGTTGGATCATATTTGCTCCAACTGAAGACTGAGCCTCAGCTCCCAGCCCCTGCCCTCCCTGGCGGGTGAGCAGACTGGCCTCTCGGGCTGGTGAGTGCTGGTTGGCACCGATCCTCTGTGTGGGAATCTCTCCTATTTGCCCTCCGCACTCCTGTTGCTGTGCTCTCCTCCATGGCTCGAGAAGCTTTCCCCCTCCGCCACCCACAGTCTCTGCCCGTGAAGGGGCTTCCTAGTGTGTGGAAACCTTTCCTCCTTCACAGCTCCCTCCCACTGGTGCAGGTCCGGTCCCTATTCTTTTGTCTCTGTTTATTCTTTTTTCTTTTGCCCTACCCAGGTACGTGGGGAGTTTCTTGCCTTTTGGGAGGTCTGAGGTCTTCTGCCAGCGTTCAGTAGGTGTTCTGTAGGAGTTGTTCCACGTGTAGATTTATTTCTGATGTATCTGTGGGGAGGAAGGTGATCTCCCCCTCTTTCTCTTCCGCCATCTTTCCCCTCTCTCCCAGCTTCTTCTTTTGAAGGTTTTCCACCATCAATTTCCAGCCACTCTGGCAGTTTCAAACTCCCTTCTATGACATGTTAAGTTAATATGACCACAGTTTTTAGCTTGTAACTTCCTGGCAAAGTGGTATGACTATGGCTCTCACTCTCTGTGTGCTGTTATTTCAAAGAAAAAGCCCCATCCAGGTTCTGCCTGATTTTGGTTGCTTTCTAGTTCCCTGAAGTAGCCATGCTTTGTAATATTTTCCAGAGTTTACAGTTGCTATCTGTGGGAAGATTCCACCATTCCTGGAACTGGAAATCTCAATAAATATTATTGAAAAGAGAAGAAAGAATAAATAAATGAATGTGTAATTTTTGTGTTGACATCAAAGGTGACATAGAGAACTTCTGATTTATTGCATGTAAACAATGTATTTAACATATTTGAGATTAATTGCAAATACTTTGGTCTCAATTACTTTAGATATAACTTTGTGATTTTTATCCTTTCTGAAAAATGTTATGCAGAGGATGATTCAAACACAGAGTCTGGCTGTTTCATCATATTAGACATATTAGATGACAAACTAAGTTTTCTGGGGGGATGGGGAGTTGGTGAACTAGCACTTTATCTTTCTAGGTACCTGATGTAACAGTAAAATTCTATAAAAGAGTCAATGATGTATTCTGTTTTCAGTTCTTTTGTCTCATAGCTACACTAAAACTGCTAATGACTTACATAATGATGACCCAAATTGTCAATGATCAATGTCCACCTCACTTGGCCTGTTTGCAATATTTTAATATTTTCGAATACTTGCAATATTTGAAGACTTTTTTCTCCATAAACACTTTTTTCTTAGCTTCCAGGAAAACTAGACTCTTCTAGTTTTTCTTCTACCTCACTGGTGTTTACTTCTCAGGTCCCTTTGTTATTTTCTCCTTGTTTCCTTGATCACTAAAATTGCAATGTCCCCAGGTGGAGTCTTTATACATATTCTTTCTTTTATTGACCCTTTTCCCCTAGTGATTGTATTTTTTCCAGGATTTAAATGTCATCTACACAGTAAGTTCCTAATTGTCCTCTCCATCTCAGACCTCTCCTCTGAACTGTAGAATTTTATACCCAGCTACATACTCTCCATGTTCACGTGGGTGTGTAACAGTCATCTCAAACTCAACATGTTCAAAACAGAACTCTTACCTTCCACCCACCCACCCCCAACCTGCTTCTACAGTCTTCCCCATATCAGTTGGTAGCAACTCCATCCTTCCACTCCCTGAGGTCAAAATTCTCAGTGTCATCCTTGACTACTCTTCTTGAGAGTATCCCCAATACAGCCTTTTAGCAAATCTGGTCACTTTACCTTCAACATTTAATCAAATTTTCCTAGCTACCACAACATCTTTAACTTAAATCATTGCAGAAGTTTCTGCTCTCCCTGTTTCCACCCTTTCCCTCTGTAGTCAATTCCAGAGTGATTATTTTTAAATGGAAGTCATACTATGACCTCCTCTATTCAGTATACCCAATTGCTTCCCATCCATTCAGTGTAAAAGCCGAAGTCCTTACAACATCTAAGGCCCTACATGTTCTGCCTCTTTGCTACCATTCTCATCTTACCTACTTCTCTCTCCTCTCTTGCCATGACACAACAGTCCTCTTAAAGATTTTTGGCACACTCCTGCCTCAGGGTCTTTGCATTGGCTGTTTACTATGCCTGGGTTGTTTTTCCTTTAAATATTCATGTGACTCACTCCTTCACATTCACATCTTTTTAAAAATTCTTACTGTAAGATTGTGACTTTCTCATGTCTACTTTACTTTAGTCATGTCTTTCCCTCCCCTGCCTTGTTTTTCCCAAAGCACTTATCATCATCTAACATCCTGTGTATTACATTTTACTTTTCTATTTACTGTCTGTATTCACTGACTGAAATGTAAGTTTCATAAAGGCCAGGATTTTTTTGTGTTATTTTCATTACTCATAACTCATTCATAACTTTAGAACATAGATGAGCACCCAGAACAGAGAAATTACTCAAGGCATATTTATGAGTTAATAACAAATGATGTCCAGGTTGGTAAACTAACTGGATCCTTAGGTGGTGGTTGGGTACTGAAAGAGGTGACTCTTATTGACAAATATGCCATGGTTTATCAGAAGATAGAGAATCCAAAGGAGCTGAACTCAAACCAAGGGGGCAAGCAGCTTCCTCCTCAGTTTCTCCCTTTTCTTTGTACATTTCCCAGTATGTGCACATCACTACACTTGTTATAACACTTCTATTCTCTCTCCTCTGGATACTGACTGCACATTAATTGCATTTTTCTTAGAACATTTGTAAGAGGCAACAGTTATTTTTACCTGTCTATTATTCATTTCTCTTTATGGTGATAATAGCACCACTATTTTCTCTCAGGGGGTTGCCCTTCCTTCAAGCTCAATCTATGACATTTGGATGGACCTGAGATCTTCTTCTCCCAGGCTCCTGAGTGAACCCAGGGACTAGTCCTGGGCAATCAGAAAGTGCATCCCCCCCAAATGGCCATAGGTTTGGGGATATTTTCATAATTCAATATGATCCAGTCAGAGCAAGCAAATTCTGGGATATCTGCTATAAGCACAAGGTAAGAGAAACTTTTTCTTCTTAGATTTCAGTAAGGCTAATGTAGACCTGACCTGTAGGAATCTACCATGTAGAGACAGACTATCTGAGGATGAAGCCAACACAGGAAAGCAGAGTGGAGAGATGTAGACTGATTTCTGATGATAATGTTTAATCTCCTGGGTCCAGCTTCCTTGAACCCCATACCTAATGATTCAGCTATAAATAATCAATATTTATAATCAATATTTTACTTGAATATTTTATGAATATTTATAATCAATAAGGTACCTTTTTTGATGAAGTTGAGTTGAGTGGGGTTATGTCACTTACCACCAAAAGTGTTCTGAGACAGCATTTAGTAGTTTTGCCATGTATAAACTAGTTTTTTATGCTCACATCACCCTCAACTTCCATGGAAGCCTGTTGGAGTCATTTTTGCATCTCCAATACCACTTGCAGTGATCTAGGTAGGAAGTGCTTAATTAACACCTGGATGGATGGATGGATAAATGGATGGCTGGATGAATAAAGAAAAATTTACTGGTTCAAATTACTTATGCTTTATTTTTAAATAAGGGCTTCCATTTGATCCTATGAAACATAATTACTTTGCTCTGTAATTCCATGCCCTTTGTTTATAATTTGATACACTTGAAGGAAAATATTCATTTTATTTAGTGCAATTTTTAAAAACCACTTTTGAAAAAGAGTTTCTGGATATCTTCTGGAGCTAATAGTATCAACAATAAACATCCTTTATGAATAGGTAGGCTGTGACAAGATAGTAGAGATTCTGGAATTCTGGTTGGCTTCTTAGAAAGGATATGAATCTCCAAGGATGGTTAATGACAACCAGTGAGGGGGAGGTGGCTGTGCATTTGGCTGCTTTGCAGTGTGTGGCTTTGGTTCTACTCACTCCCAGAGACTGCACAGTAATTGGGTAATTATCTACATGTCAGATTGGTTGGCTTTGCATTAAAGACTATTACTTTTTTAGTTTCCTCATGTTGAAAATGCTGTAGTGGTTCCCAGATATTTCCTTCCTAATTTTTTTGTGAATGTATGATTATGATAAAATGTTTTTGAACTATTGCTTGAGTGCAATTATTTTACATTTTTTGCATATTAATATGAAAGTTTAGATACCTCATTCAAAGGCCAGATTTATTCTATAGACTCTGTTAAATCTCTGTTTAATTATGTGAGACATAATTTTAAATTAATGTTAACTTAATTCTCAAATATCATGAAAAAACGTACGATAGCTTTGTGGGTGATAAACTCATTCTAAATCTGTTCATTTTCTCTTAGAAGTTCTTTATTCAAATACATTTGCCACCGGAAAAACATAAGCAAGATTCTTCTCATGGCAGGGCCTGTTTTGCTTCCACATGTTGTCCTTTGTTTCCTTGGCCTGACAATGGCTGATGTTGATGGAGCAGGTTTTAGTGAAGTCCAAAGTTGTGACAGAATGTTCCAACCATGGTCTACTCCATTGGAGGTGTGGTGAGGTTGCAAGAGGCCAAGCTCTCTTGAAGATGATGAGCACTTTCCTTCAGAGGCATCTGCCTTCTCATGGCTCCCACTTCCTCAGACTCTGCAAGTCAGATCTTTGACCATTTAGTGAGAAGGAAGAGTAGTGTCAGTCCTCTTCTCAAAGGTTTAACTGTGATAGGAAGTATGACCAGCCTGGCCAGGGCTGCTGTCCAACCACCTAAGGTTAAGGTGGTGAGAGAAGCTGTCATTGGCAGCAGGAGACTGCAAGCCCTGCCCGAAGTGAATGCTGCAGTCAGCTCTGCGTGTTTCCAGAGATTTTGAGTCTTCATGAGATGCCATATTTGAACTTTTATATGCAGCTATCTGAGTTGAAAATATTGGCAATGAATTCAACATTTTATAAAACTGAGTGCAGACTTGGAGGCTCCCCCTTCTCCCCTTTCCTCCCCTTTGTCCTGTCCTTCTCTGCTTCCTTCCTCTTTCTGCAGGGGTGTGGGGAGGCATTTCTGAGGTCTGGTTCTGAGGAGCCCTGTGCATCCTGGTCTGCTCCTTTACAACCTCACCCCTCGCTGGCATGCTGGGTGAATTAGGCCATCACTTGGCTTCTGTGTCTAAGTTTATTCTCTAAGAACCCTTCAATTCCTCCAAGTAATCAAGGGACAATTATAACCATCATGATGCCGCCTTCAAGGACTGGGGTGAAAATTAATAAAGTGCTTCTCACATGCTCTCAAGCACTTTTAGAAGAAGTTGCTACTTTCTCACAAAATGTTATTCACCCCCTACCAGGTGGAAATTAGAGAACTAATAGGGCATGTTTCTCAAAGAGCGGTAAGCCAGCCAATGGCACCAGAAGCATTGGGTGTTTAGGGGGTGGGGAGGGTTGCGGGGATTCTTTGTTAAAATGTCTGTTCTCAGCTCCACCCCACTCCTATGAAATCATATCCTGAGCGAGTGGGGCTTGGGACCTTGTGTTTTTAACAAGCACATCCCCTACATCCAGGTGACGCTAGTGTCATTGAAGTTTGAGAAGGATATCTGAGTCTTCAGAGGCAAGCAAAGGGGGATGGCTGTGAAAAATGTCTTTGGGTTAAAAGGAACATCTAACTTAGCTCCTCTGAGCCTGCAAAAATGGCTTTGGAATTGTTTATTATAGAATGAAAGAATAGGCCTGGAGATTTTGAATGATGAGTAGAGGTGGTATAGACAACTGTGCCACCTAGAGAGCTGGGTCCAGACCCAGGGGGTGAGGTCAGAGAAAACTTACTTCACCCATCTGAGCCTTATATTCCCCATTATGGCTCAGGGATGGAAGACTAGAGGTTCAATTCTCCTACAGAAATGCCATAGGATCAGGGTACCCACAATTGTCAAGAGAAATGGACCATGGGTATAGCTAATACTACATGGATCTGCCTGAAGTCATATAAATAAGAAGCAAATACATTTCTGCCACCAAAAGAATCACCACCCTGGACAAATAGAGGTTGAGGCTGTTTGAGACTTAAGACAACCCTTAAGCCTCATCTGGGCAGGAGACTGGCTGAGAAAATGAAGCCATTCTCCCAAGTAGAGCATGTTCCCCATTGTCCTCTTTAGAGGTGGCCAAGAAGAGTGGAATGGAAAGTCCTCCCGTGGCACAAATATACGGGCAGAAAATAGGGTCCTAGGGCTTCCCGAGGAGTGTTATCAACATCCTCAGTGCCCCCCTGTCAGTGGGGCGGACTTCACTCCCATTCCACCTCTTCACTGGGTGTTTATGTGTTTGTAGCCTTGCTCCACCACCTCGTGTTGAGTGTGGGGGGTAAGAGAGGCCACTTTTGGCTTGCAGAGATGGTCCTGAGATGCTGGCCTCCCAGCCTGAGGCTGTGAGGGGACAGCCATCTCCCTTGTGTAAGGACTGTGTATTCCCCTTGTGGAGGGAGAGCAAACTGTATTTGTGAGCAGAGGAGAGGGCTGGATTTGAGGATTACATTAATATTGGCAAATATTTGTTTTGTCCCTCCTGGGACTGGGGGTGGATTATACTTCCACACTCCAAGGATGTTAGGCTTTGGTCAGTGACATGTGAATGAATGACTCCTGTTATTTCAGAGCAAAAGCTTTAAGCACCGGCACAACTGGAAAAGACCCAGCTAGGGGCTGCCCCATAGCCAAGCCAGAGAAAGATATTTACACAGTCATGGCTGCCTCTACAGAACTGCAAGGGGACTGAGACACAAACCTTAGTTGCTCTAAGCAAGGTTTGGCAGCCTTTCTGTTAAGAGTGAGAGGGGAAATATTTTGCAATTTGTGGGCCATGTGGCCTCTGTCACAACTACTCAGCTCTGCCCCATGTCAGGAAAACAGCCACAGACAACATCTAAATGATTGGACACAGCTGTGTTTCAATAAGACCTTATTTATGAAAATAGGCAGTGGGGTGGGTTTGGCCTTTGGCCAAAACTGGGGTTTGGGGTCCTCTGCTTTTCCTAGCTGGCTTTAACATATGTCAGAATCACCTGGAGGGCTTATTAGTACACAGATTGCTCTCCCTCTGGGCCCCTCCCAGAGGTTCTGAGCGGGGTTGGGGTGAGGCTATGCATTTCTAATGCATTCCTAGGTGATGCTGCTGCTGCTGATCTGGTACCACCCTTTTTTATCACTGCCTTGATCCTTCTGGATTGATATATAATCTGTAAAGTGAGGGTAATATCAGAACTTACCTCATAGTGTTGTTGTCCTAACTAAATGACAGAATGCTGTGACATGATTAGGACAGGCCCTGCACTTTGTAAGTTCTCAGCAAATATTAGCACTGTGTGCTGTCAGTTGTCATGCACATGCATATGTGGATAGGTCTGTAGGTACAGACCTATCCACATATGCACAAACCACACGCTTCCTTTGCTCTCTGAAGATGCAGCATGGTAAACGAAAGGCGGGCCATTCGCTTCCGAGGAGAGTCCTCACTTCATTAAAGACTGCACCACAGTATTTACCTAAAGAGCACATTATTGTGGTGCGTTTAGAGTGGGGCTGCAATGTAAAGCTGGCTTCCAGCTGGGAGAATGGTTATACTCAAGACAGGTGCACCTTTGCCACCTCATGAGGAAGGTGGCCATTAGCTCATCGGCTGGAGGCACACCGTGGTTTGGCCTGAGCAGGGTTAATCTTTTCTTCTGCCTCAGCTGGCTGAGTCCATGCCTGGGTCTCCCAGAAATGCTTCCATCCCCAGCTCTCCGTGAGCACCAGGCTTGTTGGTCACACAGGAACTGACAGATCCAGCCCTAAACCGAGACTGGTTGTTGTAAGCCCTTTGGAGAGAGAAGCCAGGAGATGACCTAACCTCCAGGAGGGAGGAGAAGGGAGCAGCCCGTTCCCTGTGCAGCCCAGCCTGGAGGGCTCCTCCAGGCAGGAGCGAGGAAAAGTGGTATCTCCATGACTTATATGGAATTAGTGGGGGATGTGTTCTCCCTTGTTTCCTTTTGAGGGTCTTCTATCTCTTGGGCAATTTATGTCAGTGATTTTTATATCACTGTCAAGGAAATCAGAACCATATTAGGCTAGAATTCATATTTAGATTCTTTCTTTATATATAGGTCAGTGTGGATAACCCTTCTTTTGCAGCAAAGTCAGAGGTACAGGCGAAAAACTGGCAAATGAGATAACAGCTCCAAAAGGCACAGTGGCATTTGCAAACCTATGGCTTCCAATCCATTTTTGCTTTGAATAGAATGAGAACTGGGAAAGCTTTGGAAAAGCCATCTGCTCAACTCTCAGTGGCTTATGCTTCTATTTTGTTCCGAAATTTGGACTTGGGAAGGGAAGTGAGAGGCATGCTGGACAGTTCTCCTAAACCTGCTCATCCCAGGTGCCTGGGAGCCAGGCCTCTCCACACCCTGGCTCTGGCTTCCTTGAGGCTTCCAGAGTCAGAACCATGTGGCTTATGGGGCAGAGAACCAACATCTCCTACTCGTCCCCTCCTGTGCTCCATGTCATTTTAGCCTTACACCCTCCCTAGCGCTGTTACCCCTAATTAGCTGTCTCTCTTCTGTTTTTTCTTCTCCGATATACCCAACCACATTGATTTTTTTTAAAAGCCAAGTTCTAATCTGGTCACTTCTCTGCTCAAAAACCTTCGCTACTTCCGTACTGCTTATGGAGCAAAGTCCAGACTTTTTGGCCTGATGTTCAAGTTTCCCAGTTGAGCTTCACCGTAACTTTCCTGCCTTTTTCTCTCCCTCTTCTCAAAATGTTCCCTGAAGCAGACACTATCGGTGAGCTTTGCATATCCTCTCATCCTTATCCCCTCAGTGAGCACTAGACTAAGGACTTACTGCCAGTTCTGGGCTTTCCTGCCCAAGGGCTTTCTCTGGTCTCTGGAGCCCACTTTATTGCCCGCACCAAGTACCAGAGAATTAACAATTCCCTGCTCCTCCCTGCCCCCCAGCAGCAGCCCTCAGTGCAGGGGAGGTGGAATATAAATAACCAGCTCCCTCACCTTGCAGTTGGATAGCTCTGTGGGGCATGTCCTATGTTGGCTTCCACAATTCCCAGTGGCTTCAGCTCCAACTGCCTCAGAGGTCCCTGGGTTGACACCACGCCCTGTGTCGGCTGCCTTCCCATCCCTGCCTCACTTCCCCAGTCCTACATCAGTGCTTCCCTAAATCTTACCCCCAAACCTACTTGCGCTGCATCCTTGTCTCAGAGTTGGCTTCTGGAGGAACCAGAGCTAAAATGCCGCCTGTGTTGGTTTCCTAGGGTGATTGTAACAAAGGACCACATACTGAGCAATGTAAAACAACAGAAGTTTGTTCTCCACAATTCTGGAGGCTAGAAGTCCAGAATTAAGGTACTGGCAGGCCACATTCTCTGATGGCTCACAGGAAACCCCTTCCCTGCCCTTCTAGTTTCCAGTGTCTGCTGTCAATCCTCAGTGTTCCTTGGTCTGTAGACACATCACTCTGGTCACACGACATCTTCTCTGGTAGACACATCACTCTGGTCACACAACATCTTCTCCCTGTGTCTTCACAGTGTCTTCCTTCTGTGTGTGTCTATCTCTGCCCAAATGCCCCCCTTTTAATAAGGAAACCAGTCTTTTTTGGATGAGGACCCCCCAGTGACCTCATTTTCACTTAATTACCTCTGTAAAGGCTGTATTTCTGGACAGATCATGTTCTGTGCTACTGGGGTTAGGGTTTCAGCAGATATTTCTAGGAGACAGTTCAGCCCCCCTTCTCCTCCTTGCTCTTCTGAGGCTAATGTTTGTTTCTTCTGCTTCCTCATTCCAGGGTAAAACCATTATCCCCTCAATTCCTACTGTGAGACTGACACACCCTCAGCACCCAGCTCTCCTGCACACCCATTGCACTTTGGGAGCTCCTCTTGATGGACTCTATCCCTGCCTGCCTGGTGTTGTGGTGCCTCTGAGTCCTACACGGGGGTCCCAGGCTGAGATCCTGGGCCTACCATGCTGACAGGAGGCTCAGAGGAAGTCTGGAAATACTTGTTGCATGATGGTGGGAAGGATGCTCATTAAAGTAAAAGGCTCAGGAAATGGATTATTTTAGATTAATTTTGAAATCAACTTGAGCTCAGACAATTATTTTATTTCAACACTATTGGAATTCTTTCTGAAAGATACAAGTCTGCTTTTCTGCCTCAGGAAATCTAAATTTGAACACTAGCAGCACCTGCGGATTACAGCTCTGAGCACAGCTCTCACTACTCAGGCAACAGGTGTGGAATGGGTGGCTGACTGGGAGGTGGCTGTGGGGACTGGAGCAGACTCCAAGAGTGGTGTTGCAGGCCTGTATCACTGCATCATTTTCTGTCAGCTGTTACTTTCTCCTCAATGCCAAATTCTGAGAAAAATAATTCTGGTGACTTGAAGGTCATGGGACCTTGAGGGACTAGGCATACAGAGACAGTCTTATCATCCCATAGTAAACATGGAGAGCAGATAGTTCTATTTGGGATCACAAACTTTATAATTCTTTGCTGAATTTTTAAGCAAATCTAACCAGCCACCCTCCCTGGTGGAGGCTTGTTCCTGTGCTGTCTGCAGTGCTCGGGGTGACAAAGGGAGAGGCTGGCTTGGTTCAGCCCAACACTGCTGTAACCCCAGACTCTGTTCCCACAGAGAAAAAAATAAAACCAGTGAGTTTAAGAGATTTGACTAAAAGTGTAGCTATTTCCCACTTCCTCAGAGACTGCTTGCAGGGTTCTGGCTGTAGGGAAGAGCCCTAGGCCACGTTCAGATGATTCACATTGGGGTGACTCTTAACTAGGATATGGAGGGCTGACCCACTTATTACCACTCACCATGTGCCAGATGCAGTCATGTTCAATCCTGCAAGGACCCTATGGGAAAGACATTACTGCCCCATTCTAGCTGTGAGGAAACTGAGGGCCAGAGAGGTTAGGTGGGTACCCCAAATCCCATGGAGGCCCAACGCATCCTGCTGGCTCCTAACTTCCAGCTGGACATGTTTGTTTCCCCCCAAATATGGGCAGAGAGTGCTGGACCCAAATGTGAGACCAGGATTTGAATTCCATGAGTGATGATCTCAATAGAAAGCCAATCTCAGAGTCCATGGCTCCCAGAAGAGAGCACAGGGACTCCAGAAGGAACACTAACGTTGGTATGGTGGAAATTTCCACTCAATACCACCTCATCTGGAGGATATAAATGACATCCAAGAAAAAGCACCTTCTCTGTGCCTCTCCTTCTATAGCCTGGTGCTCTGCCTTGCATAAAAAATTTACTCTCTAGCAAAGAGAACCAAATTGGATTTATACACCACTGTCCAGATATATAAGACAAATTTGCAAAACATCTGCCTCATAAATCCCAGCCATCCCAGGGCTGTTTATCATTTTATGGGTGTGGAGAAAAGGGAAACAGAGATTTAAGCTTTTTTAATCTGTGTTTATTGGAAAGAGCTTTTGAACTACAAGCATTCAGGGCCCTGAAGGGAAGCAGTAGTACCAGCTCTGAGCCACGAATGGCATGTTTCCTTCAGATTCTCCCACCTCCAGGCTTTGCTTCCACTTGGCTCCCAATTTGCCCCAAGCCCTCCTTTGTGCTCTTCCTAATTCATCCTTCAAAGCCCAGGTTAGATGCCACTCCTGTGTCCTCCTGGGGCTTTCAAGATCAAACTCCACCCTGGCCCGGCCTCCTGTGCCCTCCTCCCTCCCTGCCCACTGTCGCTCTGGAGCTCACCCTGCAGGCTCCAGGCTCCGCGTGGATTTGTGGGTGTGGACCACTCAGCGGTGAGTCTTACTGTGTTTCAGGGAAGGCAGAAAACCCAGCTCCAGCTCACCCAGGAGTCTTGGCATCCCAACACAACCTACTGGGATGAAATGCCAATCACCCGGGAGGTAGAGGAGAACAGGCATTGCTCTAGGGCTCACCTGGGTTCGAGGCAGTTCTGTGGCAGTAAACAGAGACCATGAGAGGAGGCAAAAGTGCTTTATAGAGCTCGCTATATAGGGAGGCAGCCGTCGTACGAGTGTTCTGGCAGGGATTTGAAGGGGGTGCAGAGGAGTCGGAAAGCTTTATAGTAGAAAGAAGGGAAGGCCCTGTTGGCACAGGGAGGCTGCAGGTCGCCTAACTAGAGGCAGGGCATCATATGTGATTGGTTAGCAGTGCATGTTTGACTTTGTCTATTTAGCCTTAAATTGGAAGCCAAGACAAAAATTAGAGAAGCTATCAGTTATGAATCAAGTTCTGGCCAGTTTGGCCCAATTGTTACAGAGGTGACTGTTTGGCTTCCTGGACTCATTGCTAGAAATAGTGGCCTGACTGCAAGTCTGACTTGTAGGTAATGGGCTGGCTTCCTGGATGGGTTACTGTAGACCATGGGTTTGTTTTCTGGGCTGGTTGCTGCAGATTGAGGGTCAGAATTCTATTTTCATGCGTTGCGTGGCCATCGTCCATTTGTATGTTCAGTCTCTTAGATCAGTACTCACCCAGGACCTAGTTTATGCCAGACCACGAGGGTGGGCTGATGGAGTCCCTGCCCATAAGAATCCTGAGCCCAGCCGAGGAGGCTGTGGGCTCTTGAGCAGATCACAGAGGCCCCAGGGCAGTAGGGTGAGACTGGTGTGCAGTGTGGAGAGAAAATGACCTGGGACCCAGGATGATAGCCAGCCTGTTGGGTGAGAAGAAGGAAGGAGACATAGTGCCAAGGAGGGGGTTTCCACAGGTCCCTCCTCATAACCCCAACTCCACTCACTGCTGGCTCCTTGCCAATCTGTCGGCAGGGCACAATAGTGAGTGCTGCTCTCCCATGGCTGTTCTTGTGTTCCAGGACAGGGTTCCTGAGGGAGGATGGGGAAGGGCTTCCCATGCAGTCCAAACAGCTTTCTCTCATCCCCCAAACCCTTTTTTGTCTGAGCGGATCCCTGCTGCTTCTGCCTGCCCAGCATCCATTTCCCCTGTCTTAGAAATCAGATTCCATTTTTATATTTCACTCTGTGCAGAGTGAGAGAGGCTGCCAACACTTCTGGATTCGTGAGAGGGTGTGGAATAAAGACCTGGCCAACCAGTGCATTTCACTCCTTCAGAGGTAGCATGTAACTCAAGGCCATCCAACCAGAACGAATCCTGGTACGTATGTAGGCCTACTGGGCAAGGTTACCTGTGTTCAATGGGACCACTGAGCTCATGGGATATAAACCTGGGGCTGCTGGCAGTCACCACAAGAGGAAATTGTGCTTAGAAATAAGTCAACATGTAGAAAAATAGAATCAAGAGATGGTGAAAGTGAAACTGAGTCATGACCACATCGTTGGAGACCCTGGATCCAGTTTGCCTGAAAGCCCTGGTCCTGGACTTTTTAGTTAAGAGGAACTGTGTCCTTTTTAGTTTAAAGCATTTTGAGTTGATTGTTCTACCACAAGAGTTGTGATTAATTTGTCCTCCTTTGGGGAAACAACAGCACAGCATTTACCCCTCATCTCATCTGGAGTGTGTACCTCAGACTCTCTTATTCTTTTCTCTCTCTTTCTGCAGCACTTGCTGGCGGGCAGTGAGTTCCCAGGGGTTAGGGAAACAGTGTAGGGGTTAAACTCAGCTGGGAAAAGGGGGTTTAATTAAATGATCTCTAGATTTTTTTCCCACTCAATCTAAGACTTTTATCAATATCTATATGTGAACCCACTTACATATCAGATGAGATGACAATTAACAACCCTAAACGATGAAAGTTGACATTTCCCCTGTGCAGGTACTGTTCTAAACACTTCCATCTATTTGTCTTTAACCCAACATCCCTGAGGGACAGCAGTTGCCTTCCTCTCCTTGCTGAGGTTTAACAACTTGCTTGAGGATGCATAGCTTGTGCACAGTGATGCATGGATCCAGACTGGGTGGGTCTAAGCTCTTAACTGCCAATTTGGGGCCTGGCGTGCACTGTGTTTTCTTTGTCCCCTTTCCCTTCCCATACAGATGGATGGCCAGCTGCCTGAGCCCTCGGCTTCTCCATCCCTCTCCCTGCTCTCAACCACTGGGACCTGGGACTTGATGGGAGAGGACAGGTCCACAGCAGTGGGGCCTAGGGACAGGAGAGCAGGTGAGCATATCACAGAAGCTCAGAGGGAGCGAGCTGGGGCAGGGGAGAGAGGTTTTTTTTTAGGGGGTATCAGGGCTGTGGGAGATGGGGAAAGAGATGGGTCATGTCAGGGTATGTGTGTGTATATGTGTGTGTGTATGTGTGTGTGTGTGTGTGTGTGTGTGTGTGTGTTATGGGTTGAAATTCCTTTCAAATGATTTTGGGGGAAGGAAGTTAAAGACTTTGTTAGTAGTAATAGTTATTTTTAACCCAGACTGTGTGTGTCTATAAAAGACTGGACCACAGGGTCAGGAAGACATAAGGGTCTGATGATCTATTTATCCATTTCTCCATTCATCCATCCATCCAGTCAGCCATCCAGTTTTATAGCCTCAGTAAGTTAGTGTGAGCATTCTGCCAGCAAGCCATGGAGAACACTGCAAGGGGGATACTCTTGGAGATATAGTTAGAAGACCCACATGTGGGGCCAGTAGGCCAAGCTAAGCTGCCTGGGGCTTCAGTGGGAGTGAGAGGTGAACAGAGTGCCTGAGGGTTTGCTCTGGCTCGAGGGGGTCATCTTTAGGAGCTTTAGGAGGGCTAAGGTTTTCTCTTGGCTCTTGGCTGTTTCCCTGACCATCAGAGGTCAGGATCTACCCTGAGTGTGTACTGTGCCATGCTTTGAGGGCCACCTCGGCTCCAGGTGTAAGGGGATATCAGTCATTTCTGGAAATTGTGCTGTCAGGCAGCAAGTATTTTCTGCTTTTGAGGATGATGCTCTGTGCTCTCCTGGAGTGATTATGCTAATGGAATGAGGGGCCTCTTCTGATGGATAATGCCAACTCTGCGGTCCAAGCCAGGGGTCAGTTGGCATTCTATCCCCTAGATGTGAAAATAGATGGTTCCACGCTGATGGTTAGAAAAGCAATAGGTGTCTGAATAGGTCTGAGTGCAGAGGCTGGCAGTGTTTTGCAGGGGAATCCAGACTCCTGGGTGTCCCAGGCATGACAGGCCCCAGGCAGTGGCAGTTACAGTCGTCAGGGCACAGGCGCTCAGTGAACACTTGCTGACTTGAACTGAAGGGGAGTTTTGTGATTTAGCTCTCTAAAATGATGTTTAAATGACAGTAGCTTCCAAGGCAAAGCAA